CGATGTAAGACTGATCACAGCCCCCCTGACACTGAACAACATACACAATATTACTCTGTTTGTGCCGGGGGACTGGATCTTTGACCAGATTTAACTTTTTTGGATTTTTCTACCTGGGTTATTGAGCATGCATCAGGAAACTGATATGAAAGTTATCCTTCCCTTTGTAATTACTGGCCCAACTGTCTTCATCATGATGCTTTTTATTGGAGCTCTAATAAATGATGAGACAACAAATGTGTATGTTTTTATGGTTTGTTATGATTATTTAAATAGTATGAAGGCCTGTGTTCTAGTAAAACCATATTTTTGCTAGAAAATGAAAGCATCTCTACACTTATGGAACATTTAAGACGCTGTGCTTACATTTAAAATCTCCACCCCACAGTACATCTAACTGGAAATACATCTGCACTGAAAAATATTTATGCATACATCATTCTAAATGTAAATACTCGTGTCATTATATTAGAAACAGACAATTTGTCCATAGTTTATTGTATAAAGAATTCCATGGAATGCTTTTCAGTTCATTCCACAGCTGGCTTGGGGCTGCGTATAAGCTGTGATTAACACTAGGTTGTAACTCAAGAAGTTGAATTTTGTCTGAACTTCTTCCTTCATTAATGCAAATGTATTGTAAAACAGATAAAAATAGCAGATTTTTTTTATTTTTTATTAGAGTCGCTGAAGGGAGAATTACTTCTCCAGAAGTTGAGGCGGTTGGTAAGACTGGCTTTGTAGCTGAAGCCCTCTGCTAAGCTGCTCCTTGGTGTATTTTTGACTTAGAAAATTGCCCACTGACTCCTGCCAACAAAATAGCCTTGGGATGTCTTGGCATTCTCTCTTTCTGCACTTTTATTTTAAAATTTTAATTCACATATATTTAGTTGTTTATTGTTGTCCTACTTTGTCTTTGCCCCGTTATCAAACACACTTTACTCCCAGGATTGCTGTCTTAGTTTTTCCTTCACTCATCATTCTCTTAGTATTTTTTTTTTCTGTCTCATGCCGTTTCTCCCACCAAATCCATCTTCCTCAAACTATTTTGACATTTTTGTCTTGCTCGTCGTCCCTCCCTTTTTCTAGAAGCAGATTAATAATGCCATCGTAAAAAATGGCTCTGATTTATTGTGTATGTCTGTGTTCTCTGATTAGCTCAACAAACTTTAGACGGTTTATACAACACTTGCTCAAATATTTTCAAGCAGTGTTTGGCACAAAGTTTAGAGTCAGAAGACAGTGCACTTATATCTGACCTCAAACTTTGTAGTCATCCATAAGGACTGGACCCTTGTCATTTATGTGAGGATTTGTGTTTTTCTAGTGTATCTACAGTACGTCTTGTGGTCTGTCCTAGCTCCTGCATTCCCAGCTGTTCTGACGGTCTGTGTCACAGGTGTTCGTCATTATCTGTCGTTAACGTCCCTATATAAATCTGTCTCTGTGTTCTTCTTTGTCTGGGCATTGTTCTGTATGGTGTCCTGTTTCTGTCTCCCTTCGTGTCTTTCCCAGGATTTTGTAAGTTGTTGCTGCCATGTCAGCCCTTTTGTTTGTTATAATAAATACTTTTTTTTTTTTTACTTCATACCTGCGTCCTCTGACTCCTGCCTGCACATGGGTTCAACTAAACAGCAGAAACCTGACAATTTATTTTTACACCGAGTTTAAGTTACCAACAAATCATGCAAATTGCATGACGATGGAGTTATCCTACGACATGTTGATGACTCCAAATCTAGAATATAAATGGGACTACAAACATGTTGACTTGTGTAGTAAAGGCTTAGATTAGAGATTAGAGAGTGCATAAACAAATACAGACTAAATTCTGGTTGAGTTTGTTCTTGCATTTGGTGTTGTGGCTCAGTTTTTACCAGAGGCTATAATCCACTTCTTTTAAAATTTGTAATCTTATGGGTTACCTGTTGCAATTGACTTCCCTTTAACATCATAGAACATATTTTCAGTTAAAAGCTTTCTTTTGCATTCATACATATTAATACAGTTTGCTTCATGCTGTAAGCCATAGGCAAACAAGCTTTTATTTATATTTGTTTAATGTTGGACATCATATTGGTAATAATCTTCATGACAAATGTCCATTCAGATGTTAAAATCAGTGAGGCAGTATCTTTAGTCACATGTGCCATTACAGAAATACAAGTGAATACTTTCAAATAAGAATATACACTTCATTAGGACATCTCACAACCTCCTATGCTGATATTTATAGCAAATACATATATACTTTTATTTCATACGGATGTTACTTATTAGGTTATTAGTCCGTAAATGTAATGTTTTAAATCTGAAAACTAGATGTTTTGCTTGATGGTGTGCAATGCAATTGCACTTCCATATTCATACACATTAAAGAGCTGCTTGATTCATTTATATTGTCATCACCTTGTAGTGATATTGTGACTTTTTAATAAATCTGAACATACAGTATATTAACCAACAGAATCCAGATATGGAAAATGTAACTATCACCACTTTCTATTCCATGATCATATTTATTAGAATATACAATTTTAAACCTGCCTAGTTCTCAACGCATCTTAAATTGTTTTAGCCAATTGGACACAATCTTATATGAGTCATACTGAGTGTGATGATATCAGGTGTGTTGTAACACAATGCCAAGAACAAAATTATCAACTACAAAACTAAATAAGCATTTGTTGCTGTCCTGTCAATCTGGGAAAAATTTTGAGGCCATTTCTAAACAACTGGAATGCATCATTCATCTGCGAGAAAGATTATTCACAATTGACAAACAGTCAAGATAAGTTGCCAATCTCCCCAATAGTGGAGGCCCCATCAGGTTCAGCTTGCTGTCGGGCTGTGTAATGTTCAGAATGATTGCAAAACAACCCAAAAGTGGCATCGCAGAACTCAAAGTTTCAATTAGAATTTTAAAATGCGTAAGTTAATGTTAGCACGATTAGTAAGAAAAGATGGACAACTATTGATTAGTTTGAAATAATTAAGTGGGTTGAGTTTCTAAAAAAGAACATGTCAGCACAAATAAGGTTTGCCGAGTTACATCAGAACTAATCACTAGAAGGAACTATGTCCTTCACACAGAGACAGACCAAAGCAAATTGAGAATGTTGGACCATAAGGCAGAACACAGTGGTAACTAAGCAAAGATCGTCATTATTTATGCTTATTTCACAACCATAGAGCCAGGGCACCTTAAAGCCACGTACTCCTCTGAATTCCAAAGTATTTCTCGGTTAAAGGTTAAGCCATCCGTTAGTTTGGCGTTACGGTAAATTCTGGTCATGCAACATGGCGGTAATTCTAAACATACAAATTAATCAAGGTGTTCCAATGTCAAAGCTCAGACCTTGCTATTGTGAGCTCTAAAGAAAACAGGTGCCTAAAATCCTCAATAAACTTTAACAATGGATTTTGTGCTTATTGTTCCTCTTAGGTTGTATTAAGACCTTATAGGCACAGATACGTTTTAAAGACTGTCTTGATATGTAGAACCTTGATGTAGAAAAGTATACGGATTAATCACAAGGCTCTTGGTTGTTTAATAATTCACCATGCCTCTGAATGACATGCAGCCTGTGTTTATGGATGAGAGTCTCACACACTGTGACCTTTGTCCATCCCTTCTTCAAGCTTGCACACTTGCATTATGCATGTGCATACTTTTACTGTGTGTTATTACTCTGTTTGATTCTGGGTTTTGTTAATGGTTGTTTAAATAGATGTGGAAGTCACATCAGCCATCCCATCTCCTTTCCTCTGAAACATACTCACAAAAAGCATTGGTGTGTATAGGGAATCATTAGCTAAAGTGATGCAAGTTTAGCTATCATGAATCAAAGTGGCATCATATCGACAAGCCAGAGCCAGGAAGGAATCCAAATTGTGTGTGTGTAAGGATTACCAGTATTTTGAGCTGGCAACAAGCCCAGCCTTCTTTTTCTTTAGCTCGTTTTTCTCTGTCCTCCTCTCTGCCACCAGGGTTTTCCCTGGTGATATTCCCTGCAGAAAATTTAATTTGCTCTCACCCCAATGTCGTCTTTCCTGTCCGTTTTCTCCCATCATACCCACCATCAGCGTCTTCTCTGTTTTAGATGGCACTCAGTGACAATCACATTACCTTCTCTCTCTCTCTCTCCCTCTCTCTTTTGATCCTCACAAGTGGTGGAAAATCACAGGAGAGCTTATGACTGAGCTTGATCCAGCTTTAGCAGTCAGCATGTTGCTAGCTTATGTTGGCTTTGTGCAGCGGGATAGCAACAGTTTCTTTGTGGTCTGCTTGTTGAAGAACTTGCCAGGTGCACTCGTGTTACTACTTGTAAACTTTGTTCTCTGTACTGGGAATGAGAAGTTTGACAACATAACACGCCTGATTTCTGTTTTACTCTCCCATGAATACTTCCACCGTTGGCTCAGTCTTCCCAACCATCTTAAACCTCTTCATCATTCCTTCCTCTTAGATCCCTCACTCCCTTAGTAATATTTCTCACAGTATGGTTTACTTGTGATGACGGATGGAAACTAAGAACAAAGAAGCGGACTTCACATCCATCACAACTTTAACAACTGTATAGTTTAGCTGAGTGATGTCCAATCCTGGTCCTGGAGGGCCACTATCTTGCATGTATTTGTTCTCTGCTCTTCAGCACGCCTTTGAGTACTGCAGAAGCCTGCTAACCACTCGTTCGTTTAATCAGTTGTGTTAAAGCAGAGACATATCTTAAGCAAGCAGGGTGGTGGTCCTTAGATATCCAGGACTGAACAGTCCTGGTTTAGCTCATCATACTTGTTTTTGTTTTTTTTTTTTCCTACTGTTCTTATGTTTTTTCTTGTTCTGTCAGAGCCATTGCAAGCTTTTTAACCCAGTCAGAGCAAGACTTACAGACCTAAAGTAAATCTCCTGGGTACATGTCATTCAGATTGCTTTATGTATTAGTTTGTTTTATTGCTCTAGTTGTGGAAGGATAACAACTGCTCTCTTGTTCCCCCAGCTCCATCAACTCCTGTGGAACTTGGTCCAACCCTCGGCTTGAAAAAGTCCAGCTCCTTGGAGAGTCTACAGACGGCCATGTTAGAGGTTAATAAGAAAAATGAGCTCCTCCCATTCCACCGTCCACGCCCAAATATGGTCAGGGGAAGGGGCTGCAATGAAAGCTTCAGAGCAGCTATTGATAAATCCTACGATGGGCCAGCTGAAGATGATGATGGTGAGAAAGATGTAATTTGTGTCTTTGGCATCTCAATGTTTGAGCTTCTCACGACAATCTTTCCTTAATATTTACTTGATTTGTAAATTGCATACATTAATATTTAATATAATGCGTGATCCAATGCAGTACATCTACCACTGAATCATTCCATCAGTTTTTCTGATGCCACAGATGCAGTTTTTCACTTGACATGTTTTACAGCAAAACTTTTCCAACTTTCCAAACAGGGAGGTGATGTTCAGCCACTTCATACGTAAACATTTCCAAACAAGCAGAGATGCTTATCTTTAAATTTCACATCTAATCACGCTCTCATATCATCACTACTTTTAGTTGGATTTTTTAAATGTTTTTTTTAACATGGTTATTGATGCATTCTCTGCTTACTTCCATGTGCAGTGTGCTCCTCAATCACATTTTCTCCAACAAAGTGTGACAAGAGTCTTGCAGCTGGCACCTCACGGCTCCAAACATCAACACATATTCAATTCCCAGCTGCGTTATTACCAGCTAACTCTTATCAGTCACCACCAGAGTAATGAGTCGGCCTGTTTCAGATCACTACACTCATACAGGATAAGACTAATCGGGTGTGTCAGCACCACGCATGCAGTGGCCACATCTGTCACCACCTTTCTAATAGTCCAGCACTTTTAGAGCCACTGTTAATTGACAGAAAACACTTCTCTGAAGAGCACCGAGTGTCTTTCAGTTTTAGTCGCCGCTACTGTTCACTCAATTAGCTCAATCTGACTTTGACATTTTGTATTGACCGTTGTCTATATAAATTTAAAAATTTTTAAAGTGGCAAGTCAAAGTAGGTTTTTTTTTTTCCTAACATTTTTAAAGAATATAAATAAAAGTGTCTTTCTGGTAGTTAAGTGTTATCCAAAACACATTGTTGGTCATTGAGACCATTCTGCTTTTCCCACACCGCATAGGACACGTGTGTCCAAAGTGTGGCCCGAGGACCATTTGTGGCCCTTGGAGCGATTTCATGCGGTCCACAACTGCACTTTAAGAATGTTATCATTTTGTCCATATATATA